TACATTCTCAAGTTGCCGATACTTTTTCCGACAACTAAATATACTTTAAATAATTTTTCTTTTTCAAATCCTTTTTTGCCTCAAATCATATATTTTTCAATGAAATCTGTGACTGAGCAAACCGTAAGCAAATAAATAAGTCGTATGGTGCATCCTTTTCTCCTTTTTGATTTATGTGTAAACAAAATCACTTACATTATGGACAGCTCTTTAAATCACATTCTCACCATATTTATGCAGAAATTACTTCCAAAATATTTCTTTTCAATGAGATTTTTATGGATAGTTTTAGGTTATCAATATGTGTCATATAAGACCAAGCTACCATTTCCGTTACAATACGACACTGGATTTGAAAATTCTGGATCACAGTTTGGAAATGCAACACGACAAAGGCTGGTAGGAGCTGGTAGACTCCTTGATCAAAGGACGAATCGTGAGCTAATAAAATGACTAAACAGTAAAATTGTAGTTTTTAGGAATATAGGTTGTACTGAAAGGTATAATTTTATAGCGACCTAGCTTTATTGTCCCATGAAATTATAAATTGACCAATTTCAAATTTATTTCGAAAATTGGCTAATTGAATTGTGAAGTTAATCATAGCACAATTCAAATGAGCAGTTTTTAACACCAGTGAATAATTTGAATGAAAATTCTCTTTTCATTGATGATAATCTCTTAATACTTTTCTTGAAAAAGTTCGAAAGGTTCCACTTGCGTTTCTCCTTGGTATGGTATTTATTCGTCATGAGGGAAACATATTGTCCTGATTTATAGGATAGTATTTGTAATGCATATACAGACAATGATTTGTTATAATTAATTAACTTATTTATTTCCATACATTTGGATAATTGGCTAAATTGGAAATTACACCTTTTTCTGGCCATGTTTTGCTAATAATTTGCAGCAAATGATGCAAATTTCGTTGACTGTATATATGGAATAGAAAATTCTCTAGTCCGTGTCATCCAACGGTGTCTCGCAAGTGTTGGGTGTTGTGAAACATCGTGCTGCAAAAATCGCTCATGGTTAACTATTTTTCTATGCAGTTAAATGAGATTAGAGATTTCCATCGTAATTAATAGGCTTTTTTGATCTGCGAAATAGATTTCAGTTTTCCCTAACTTTCTATATTTTTTAAATCTTAAAAAATTGGATTAGCTGAAAAAAATTAAGGAGCCGTTTTACAGGCAGGAAAAGTACGCTTGGGCGATTGCACTCCTTACTATATTTTGCGCTCTTGTACTTCTCTCCTTGTTCGTGACATTATTTTGCTGGTTGTATAACCGAGCCAGAGACAAGAATCAGAAACGATTCATTAGTCAATCAATGGGTGGAATTAGTCCAGCGATATCACAGGTTTGTTTGAAACACAATTTTTTTTGCATTTCTTGGGTGAAATTATGGAGTGATCTGAGATTTAACTATTTAATCTAAATAAGTGAATGTATTTTGAAATCAAATTTGAAACTCTGCTTTTTCAAGTTAATTTGCAGACAAATCTAGCTACAATCGAAAATCGAAATGAAAGTGGCTATTATCCGTACGTCTGTGGACCCAATCAGTACTGATACTTGGAAAACTCCTTTAATCGCGGGAGCAGCACAAGGATCCGTATTGAAAATCAACCTTTTCACTAGCTTAAAATATCACAAATCATTTCCTAATCAGTTTATTTATTACAAAACATTTTGAAGTCATCGCCTGTTTTAATGTCAATAGAAGAAAAAGTTAAGGGTTTTAAATGATTCCACGAAGACTTTATTAGAAGTAACGGGCAGGAGCATATTACACTATCAGCCTTTTCAGATCGGATGTCACTAACAAATTCATTGTAATGTCCTTGTCCTCGTTGCTTTTGGTAAATATCGTGAAATAAAAATCTAAACTTTATTGTATGTTCACTTTGCGATTATTCTTATTTCAAGTTTGGAATTTGATTTCAAAAATAACCGGATTTATGATACTGCTTGATTGCTATGTCGTGAGTATTTGAAAGTGAATATTGTTGAGGTCAGAACAAATTTAGAATTTTTCACTGTTCTGTGGGATATTCGTTTTTGCTTTTTTCTGGACTGTGATGTGTTCCTTGCATCGCAATAAGTATTAATTTAATTGCAGTGAAAAAGTGCTTCGGTAAGGGGGGAAGGGAAAGTGGTAGGTAGTTATAATATTTCTGGTACCTGCAACTGCTAGAAAGGTTGTATTAAAACTAGAGAAGTAAATTTTAACATTTACTGCTGTTATTTGATTGCATGATCGATTAAGCTGATATCTAATCAATCCTTCAGTCAGTGTTTGATCAACAAAAATATTAGCTGTAAAATGTCAGAGGACGGACATGCCAGTTAGATGCAGCATACATCGAGTTTACTCATTTGATACTGAATACAGAAATCTATACAAAATGGTGATCAACATTACGAGTGTTACGATCTCATGGATCTCGAAGATAAATGGTGTGATAGGCTGGAGTTTTAATAAACTTGAATTTGTAGATTGTGAATTTGTAGACATGGAATGCCAAGTATAGAGCAATTAATTGAATGTTTACAGACGAAATCACTCTCTACTCGTTATTTATTAAAATAATCTCAGGAAATTGTAATAATAATTAGAATAATCATATTTGATCATTTGTTGCGCTTATAATAATAATAATGATTAGAGTAATGTAATAATAATTAAAATAATCAAATTTGATCATTTGTTATGCTTATATTCAACAAGATCATCAGCAATGTATAGCCATTCAGCACATGTCCCTCGTTCTGACAATACTTGAACATATATGGCAGAGCTTTGCGATGTTCTAATCCACTCCTTACACAATTTATCCGTTACTTTCAATACTTTTTACTGGTTATTTTAACGTTATTTGCTTGTTGAATTGTCGATTACTCACACCATTGAATATTCAACTGTGCTTTCTTGCCTTACTCGAAGCTTTCAAGAGCATTTTTTACCTAACTCTGCAGGCCATTCTCATATTGTGACAAGATCAAATTGCAAGAGAATTGGTTGTACTAAGAAATTTATTGTGATGAATTGTTAGACATAACAATATTATGTGTAAAAAATTATCACAAAATACATAAGAGAGCGACTTAGGTGTAAAGTACAATCAGTTTGCCAACTGTATTTTAATGCAACCATAAAGAATAGCAGTTCAAATTAAGAAGCTTACAGGATTAATTATCAGGATGAGGTAAACTAAGTAGCAAACAATTAGCAAACCGATAAATTATTTTTGAACTGGAAAGATTTTCTTCCATGCATTTTTCTGGATTCTGACGTCGAAAAAAATGGAACGATTGAATAGTGATTATACATCAAAATATATTCAAACAACACTGGTGGCAAATTCAGCTGAATCCATAATGCGATTTGTTTGTCCACTGAGCCGAGCAGTTTCTGCAGATTCATTACTGGATGTTAAACTGTAATTTGCTGAATCATCTTGACGTGAACCTCCAGTGCTAGTCTTAATCTGATGTCGTGTCGAGGTACTTCCACTAACAACTGTGGTACGCAAAGATTTTGGTTGTTGTTGAGCTTTCAGCGTTCGATTCCGATCATTACCCTCCAAAAGTGATGTATCATAATCAGGACCTAAATTACCGTACAGGCTAACAGTACCAGTTGCACCGTTACTTATGAATCGTCCACCACTGTAAATATTTTGTGGATTAGGCGATCCTGGCGTAGGCGCTCGTTGTGACGAATAGTTACTTGCACTTCCTTGACTAGTTAGTGTTGATGTGGGCGTGAAGCATTGTTCTTGCTGAATTGTACTAGCTGCCGATGAAACCTAAAAATCCTCTGTTAAAAAGAATTAATATGTTGCATTTGCTGAATTGAAATAATCATTCAATCAGTCAGTTATGTTGTGTCACTTCTTCAAGTTTGAAAAAGATCTGCTTACAGTAAATAATGCAGGTAGTGCTGCGCAACAATATTTACTTTAGTTACCACATCAAATTTATACTCAAAAATGTTAGAAGCACACAACAAAACAACATGCCTTTCGTATTTTTAGGTAAATAATCGGAAAAATTTATTTTTAGGTAAATAATCGGAAAAATTCAAAATTCATTTGTTTATATTGTACCAGGGGAAATTTTTACATTCATATTAATATTAGATTATTATCGCAAAACGAATTATTAGTTGTATTTGTGAAAGCAGAGTAGTAATAACAAACGAATTCCCAAAAAGTAGCAACTCACGCCGATAAGCACAAAACCGTACTTCAAATATAAAAAACCTAAAAAAAGAATAAGTGTTGTAGTGGTTGTGATTTTGAGACATCTCTCAAAGGAACACGAACTGCTTTTATCCATCAGAGTCCTCTGAAGGCATTTTATTTCATAAATTTTGACACAAAGTTGTATGACTTTGTTGCATAGTATTTTAAATAACCATGTAAATTTTAATCAGAAGATGGACATATATACTTACACTCATTCACTTTGAAATAATATTAATTCAGAATTTCAACTAAGCATTTTTATGGAAGCAAGTAAGCAGACCTTGTCATATGATGAGGGACTTGCCCAGTCCACTGGCTGAGAGATCTGTGAAGTTTGTCGCTGCTGTGACCAGTTTCCATAGATGGATCCAGCACCAGAGCCCTGCTGCTGCTGCTGCTGTTGCTGGATACTAACTAGCTTATGAGAATCGACAGCCGGGGTAATGCTATTGAAAGATGATAATTTTAGGTTGGAAGTTCTTTGATATGGTGAATGTTCCCTGGAAACTTTGTATGGCTTTGGAAACAAACTGCTGCTATACAATTGCAATTATTCAGAAATTTAAAAACAAATTCCATTATTCTTAATTAAACGATTGATAAAATGGCACAGTAAAAAAAGATCTACCTGCTTGAAATAGATGTTCGCATACCGAAACGATTTTCAGCGACAGGACTACTTCGTATGGAGAGCACTGAAGACGCTGGCCCACTCTCCAACACATTCTGCGATGTATTAGTCTGGAATGACGTAACAAACTAGAACTAGACTAAGGGTAGAAGATTATTTTTTGCATTTTTTTGCAAAAATACATTGATTAAATTTGATAAAAAGGCATGGAAGTGTCTGAAGGGAGAACCTGTGTTCTGTTATAAGTAGATCCCATATTTCGACTCATTTGAACTGCTTGAGCAGCTTGAACAGCAGCCTGCTGCATCAACTGCTGATTCTGAAGAGCACGAGTCTATAAGAATCAGTAAAATAATGTTGGAAATGACTTAATTCCTGTTTCATTACCTAATTCAACTCAAATATTTTTCACATCATTTAGCAGAATGAGGAGAATTTCAGCAAAAATAAAATTCATTTTGAACCTGAGGTCGACCATAAGTTAAATATGCTCCGTACGAAACATTCACATTTCCAAACCCATTGTTAACTGCTCCGTCATCTTTGGAACCTCGTCTTCGTGTTACTGCTGTTTCCATTTGTCCACTCCGGTTTTTGTGAATTGAAGCATATGCCTCCTGTTGCTAAACAATGATTCCGCTGTAAGGAGAAACTACAAAACGGCTTGGACGTGAATTCACTGGCATCAAAACCTTTGTCTGGGAAAAAGTCTGTTATGAAATTTGTCTATCTTTGAATCATGATAAAACAGTACTGTACTTTAAGCGCCATAGGAAGCAAAATGTTGCAAAACCTGTACATATCTTTTGATTCGAGAATTTCAAGACCCATCCTATTTCAATTTATAAATAGTTGAAAAGGAAGTTTATGTTCACCGTTAAATGTGCGCTGTCAGAAGTGTTGTTTCCGCTGCATGCGCTCACTGAGTTTTGCAGTGATGGTCTTCGGGGATTCTGCATCATTTGCCGGCTGTTGAAGGATGCATATTCCGATCCTTGAGTTCGCTAAAAAATGAATTCGCTTTGATTCTAATAATGTTGTTTGAAAAGAGACGATTCCAGAGAACAAATTTTCAAGAAAATCAGGACCAAGAAATCTAAATTTCAATTTAAATCTTCAAGAAACTATCAAAGTAAACTTGTAAATGTGAAAAGTTCATAATTCCTGATAAAATCGATTTACGTAAATTGAAAAACCTGGAATGTTCCAAATGTATTTCCGGGTACGGTGACATTTGCCGAAACTTTTGCTTCACTGGAATACTTGGGAACATTCATTATAATCCGTTGCTGCGATGAATGTTTCATCTGTGGTTGTATGGTTTGAGCAATCTGCATATCAATATAGAAAAGATCAAAACTCCAATTCGTGATTCAATTAAAAATAAGATAATGAAATTCTTAAAGTGGAAATGTCCTTTTTACTAATATTGAACCATCGAAAGTTTCTGGAATAAGACATAAAATTTGGTAAACATGCCGTATGGTATGCAGCAGTGGGTGAAGAGTTCTCGTCGCTACTTCGCCGATGAATTGTAGACGTACCAAGAAGCCGATTCATTTCTGGTGTTCCTTTGGCACTTTCACATTGTGGAGCTCTTCTGAAAAGGTACAGAATGAAGATTATATGACAATCATGAAAAAAGTAATCAATGGGAAGCAACGATTAGATAAATAAGAAAAAGTTAAAACAGCAATGCATTAAGAAACCTCGCTGTGGGTGATTGCATACTGTTTCCTTTCAACCAGTAAATACCTTCGCTTGCAGCACCAATTCCGCTTTTCTGTGTTTGTCGTAATAATGACTTTTTAGTTATGATATCATCCGTAAGATACATCTAGAATTTTAACTGCGACAAAAGAATTTCTTCATTTAACACTTCATCGAAATGCATGGGAGCATGAGATGAAATTAAAAAAATTTCATATAAAACAAAAGAATCAAACCCCAACCTGGTCTCCATGCATTAATATCAATGCGTTTTTTAGTTCAGATGGTTTCTTCTCGATAATTTTTGTGGGCGAAGCAATCATCGTTTGAGGCCCACTCTGCAACTTTTCAATTAGTCAGAAAAGTTACCTGCAAACACTTTCTCGTCTTTCAATTAAAAATTATACCAATTTAGTTTCGCCAAGTTACAAATCTGCTGTGAAAATGAAGAGTTTCTATCATCTATCTATTTTTAAATCATTATAACATTCTCCAGAACAGACATTTCCGTGACCTGTTTCTTCATTCACAACAACCAACTTCAGTTAAAAATGGAATTAATTTATTACTTGCAAAGCAATAATTTCATGCACTTGATGAATAACTTTAAAATCCCATTCTCGTTTAAGTGTAAGTATAAGCCAAAGAATAATCCAGGCAAAGAGGAAAACAACATCAATAACGATACATGATAACAATAGCGCCTTTTCTTCATGCTGAAAACAAAATTCCCAGTTACTGACCTTTTTTTCTACAGTAATTTCCTTCCACATATTTTTTCACTATAAATACAGGCAATTTCAAATCTTGAATGAATCAGCTGTTGAAGCCGCATAAATCTAGACAACCAGAACCCAAAATGTATTTGTTGCTAGTTCAAATTTAATGAAGTACTGCACAGATGCAATCTTTTCCTTTGCTTTCCTTTAGCTGTTCATTTCTTATTTTCTTCGTATTCAACTTTACAGGCTGAGGCTGATCAGAAACAGTTAAAGTATGCCGAATACCTACTGAGATCTGTGAAAAATTACACAAGTAGCTTAATTACCTGATATATAACCATATGCGCATATATGGTTGGGGCTTTGGCGATAACAATTAAAACAAGCAAAATTATTGCAAATATGTGAGGTGCATATCTAAAACAAATCACTGATTTCAATGAAGAGTCACGTAAAGGAAGAATTTTAACAGAACTAAATTAAAAAACTGAAAAAACTCTTTTTGGAGAATTATTACTGCAGAAATGGCTGACAAAGGTTCTTCACAAGTATTATTTAAACTGTAAAAATATGCCAAAATACAAACCCGTCACAACATAGTTTGGTTTGTGGCACCTTGGATGAGTTTCGGAGACGATATTCTGAATACTCACTCTGTGCACCATTAATAACGCTTGCTTGACTTCGAAAGGCACTCTTTTGCCGCACATTTGAAATACTTATCTGATAAAGACATTATGTTTTAAGGGGAACAAATTCTTAGTCTTTATGAAGGATAATGAATTTATTGCATGCATAGAATTTTAATTATTAGAGATTCCAAAAAAAAGAAAAAAGAAAAAAATTCAAGGGCAACTTACGAAATATTTGCTATAACCATATATATATAATACAACAGGTGTAGTACTAATAAGCACAATAGTCGTAACATACGTAGCAATAATTGCGGATGGATGATAAATTTTTAAGGGACGTGACGAGATCAAATACTGTCCTAAACCAAACGAACTAATTTGAAGAATATACTGAGGTTTGAAATGAAAAGAAAATTTAGAAATAGAACTTACTTATACATTTAATGCTAACCGGAACCGAAATCACTAAAAATCCGATTACAGTGAAGCAACAAGAAAAAAAAAAACGAAAAAAAAAATAATCGAACATACCGAGACCAACCGGTCGGACGCTAGCATAATTTGTTTCCTGTATACGAAGAAGAACACTAAACCCGAGATAAGACCAAATCACCGTCGCCGAATAAATTAACAAATGAAGAGAGAATATGAAACTGAACGGTTTGTTGGTGTGCCAGAAAACTGCTGAATAAGCACACGTGTAGACGAATAGAGCAATCAACAAATTGACGAACTCGAGCGGTATTCCAAACAAACGAGCATGCATCAGTACTGAATAATATTTTCATTGTTTTATTTTCTTAATTGTTGCCAAATTTAAGATCAGATAGATACCGCTTAGACCGCTTACTTCATACATCCTTTTAGCTCTGGTGATGATAGTATGAGTGAATTTTACTTGGTAATAAATTAGGACTGATTGGTGTAGCAGTCAAATCCTGTGCCGATATACGAAAGCCCTGCAATCGGCTATCGAGCATTGGCAGATTTGTCGCCAATTGACGGGAACGCTGATACACGAAATCAAGTTCTGTATTCAAAAAATCACCTGGAAAAATTTCGTGGATTTTTTCGAACATATGTTGGACATGTTAAATACTAATGTTATGAGGCTCGGTAGTAATTTTAAAAGACTGAAGAAAAAATTTAATAACTCTAGTAATTCCGAAATCCAGAATTAGTTTTTATATTAGCAAAGAGGAATACCAATTTCCGACCTCAAGACCTCCGATCCAATTCTGATGCTAGCAGGATAAACCTTTCACTTTTAAAGATTTTACCATAGCCTCGGTAAATATATAGCTGAAATAATAGAACCCTTAGAGTAAATGACTACGAACAACTTCCTAGTATCAGTTAATAGAAATATTTCTGAAACTGGAACGTGGCTCATTTTGAAAGCTAAAGCGAGTGCGCATGTTGATCAAATATCAACTCTTTTTATTACATTTTATGTGCTATATGCTTTTTATATCCCTTTTACAAATTATATTACGGAAGTTACTTCGGATATTACGAATCACTTCTTTAGATTATTGTTTCAGATTCATCAATTTTAAACTGTAATATCTGAATCAAACAAAGAAGGTTATTAATATTGATCTTCACGATCAAAAGGAACCGCTTAGTAATACTTGATGATTGGTTAAGTTTAAAGCCAAATTTTGTTAAAAACTTCAAGTAATAGGGACATGAAATGCAGCCACTATCATGCTACATCCTGCTTGTAATCTACTGTTATTTCAAACACACATAAACTTTCCAGAAGATTAGACTGTCATGAAATTTCTTCACAAATTCCAAATTCCTCTAAATATTCCCTCATAATTTTCTCGATTGGCACATCATCAAAATTTTTCGATTTTAGACCTGGCCGAATGATTATTCCATCAATTATGACAATGGTTGGGATAAGTAAAAGACATTTACACATATTCACTTCATGTTTTAGCAAAACCTTTGATACCTTGTGATTTCATAATTTATATGTGGCGCTCCATCAAACGGAGAAAAGACGGTGGAACATCCATAAAGTATAGGAAGAGTATCGCGTGTTTTTAAGTAGTCCATTGGTATAATTTCCGACGTTCTTCTTTGTTTCAACTCTTACGTTGTCTCTCACTAGGCCTTTTTTATTAAAAAGAGGCCTTTTTGTGATAGCATAGGCTATTTCACTATATCTGTCGAAATCAATAGGCATTTGGCACTGCCTGGTATAGGCTATTTTTCATGTATACAAGGACACCAACATATAAAGCATACTCAAATTGCCAAACACACACATCCACCCACACACACACACACACACACACACACACACACACACACACACACACACACACACACACACACAACAACACACACACACA